TGAACTACCTTAACCGCCCTGTTTCGGACACCGAGCTGAAGACTCCAGCGAGTCGCAGTTGGATTTGAAAGCGAGTCTCCTATCGACTGCGCTAACGCGGCCCCTGTAATTAGCTGACAATTTAAGATCGTATGTGGAACACTGTAGGGGGCATTGACTTATTGTATTGATCGTATACGTTTCCATTGCTGGATCATCGCTGTGCTTATTGATTAGGCTTGCCCCGGCTCCACGTTACTGCTCTTCAGTTCACTTCATAAAATTTACTTCACTTCAATTAATTTCGCTCCATGCTGCTCTGTTTTCTTCTTCTTTTTCTTCTTCTTCTTCTTCTTCTTCTTCTTCTTCTTCTTCTTCTTCTTCTTCTTCTTCTTCTTCTTCTTCTTCTTCTTCTTCTTCTTCTTCTTCTTCTTCTTCTTCTTCTTCTTCTTCTTCTTCTTCTTCTTCTTCTTCTTCTTCTTCTTCTTCTTCTTCTTCTTCTTCTTCTTCTTCTTCTTCTTCTTCTTCTTCTTCTTCTTCTTCTTCTTCATCTTTTACCGCTTCGGGTGTCGAGGGAGATTTAAGATCCTGCTTCATGCTTTTCCGGCTGCTTCGACCATAGACACGCCGTGGTGCTGTAGAGTTTCTATGACGTTATCTTTCCATATGTTTTTGGTCTACCTCTTGCTCTACGTCCCTCTCCTCTTTTGGTATATACATTGTATGGTACAACATCAGAAGGCATTCTCTCTAAGGGGGCAAACCCTTTTATTTGCTGTCTTTGTATGTAAGTAAGAGTTGGTTTTGTGTCGACTTTATCTCGTATGACCTGATTTCTTATTTTATCTCTTCTGGTCACTATTACAGTCTTTCTTAGACACGTCATTTTCATGATTACTAATTTTCTTTTATGTTTTGTTGTGAGTGACCACGTCTGGCACTGGTAGCATAGGGTGGGAATAAATATGCTTTGTATGAGATGTTTCTTTGTGTTGATTGGGATTGCCTTGTGCTGATTGGGATTGCCTTGTGCTGATTGGGATTGCCTTGTGCTGATTGGAATTGCCTTGTGCTGATTGGGATAGCCTTGTGCTGATTGGGATAGCCTTGTGCTGATTGGGATTGCCTTGTACTGATTGGGATTGCCTTGTGCTGATTGGGATAGCCTTGTGCTGATTGGGATTGCCTTGTGCTGATTGGGATTGCCTTGTGCTGATTGGGATTGCCTTGTGCTGATTGGGATAGCCTTGTGCTGATTGAGATTGCCTTGTGCTGATTGGGATTGTCTTGTGCTGATTGGGATAGCCTTGTGCTGATTGGGATTGCCTTGTGCTGAAAAAAGGAGAGCTAGCTTTCCCAATACCTTGCCTGATTTACCACATCTGATGTTAATTTCTTCTTCCAATTGATCATCTTCAATGAACGCAGCTCCAAGATATTTAAATGCAGATGCCTATATGATATATGTATTCTCTATTGCTATATTTAAAATCAGCTTCTTTCTTCCTATTACAATTACTTCTGTCTTTTCGCTGTTTTTTTATTCTCATACTATTTGTTTATCTTGTTAAACTTATTGTCACTTTTTTTTCTTTAAATATATTGCACTTCACTTCTCTTTTAGTTTACATGAATTCACTTTACATTACAATAATTCTGTTCAATATACATCGTTTCAGTTAACATGCCCTAAATTTACATCATTAAACTTCACTTTACATCATCTTACTTCACTTTATATCATCTAATTTCACTTTACATCATCTTACTTCGCTTTATATCATCTTACTTCACTTTATATCATCTAACTTCACTTGACATCATTTAACTTAACTTTACATCATCTAACTTCACTTTACATCATTTAACTTCACTTTACATCATCTAACTTCACTTTACATCCTCTAATTTCACTTTACATCATCTAGCTTCACTTTACATCACTTCTATTTACTTTACATTATGTCATTTACTGCACACTATAACACTTCACTTTACATCATCTAACTTCACTTTATATCTCATCTCTTTACATTGCATCATCTCAGTTTACTGTACACTATAACACTTCACTTTACATGCTTTACTGCGGTCCTGCTCAAGAACCTGAGTGTTGCGTGTGTATCCGTTTGACAGATCTGACTCGTTTGTGTGCAGACTGCTGGTTCCTTGTCTCAGGCAGATGAACTCCGACTTCAAAGCAGATGAACTCCGACTTCAAAGAAAGCTCCCAATTAGTCGACCCTTATTACATGCTTTTGGGTAGGCAGTGGGTCTATTCTTGTTTTTCCCACAATAGGGTCACGGAACCCACACGGGGGACTTTATATCTCATCTCTTTACTTTACATCATCTCAATTTACTGTGCACTATAACACTTCACTTTACATAATCTAACTTTACTTTTGATCTCGTCTCTTTACTTTACATCATCTCAATTTACTGTACACTATAATACTTCAGGTTAAATCCCACAACGTCACTTAACATCATCTCTCTTCACTTAACATCATCTCTCTCTACTTAACATCATCTCTCTTCACTTAACATCATCTCTCTTCACTTAACATCATCTCTCTTCACTTAACATCATCTCTCTCTACTTAACATCATCTCTCTTCACTTAACATCATCTCTCTTCACTTAACATCATCTCTCTCTACTTAACATCATCTCTCTTCACTTAATATCACCTCTCTTCACTTAACATCATCTCTCTTCACTTAATATCACCTCTCTTCACTTAACATCATCTCTCTTCACTTAACATAACCTCAATTTACTTTACACTGTAACACTTCAATTTCATCAAATCATCTATTTTCTTTTTAAACCATCTCATTTTACTTTATACTATTTCATTTTACTTCACTTTAGATAATTTCACTTTATTTATGATTTCACATTTGATGATATTTAAGTTTACAAAGAATTACATCCGTTAACTTTAATTTTTGTTTTGTTTTGTTTTTTTTTAACCTTTTTAGCTTTAGCAATTTTTCACATTACTTTAAAAACAACATTACATTTACTTAACTCCATTTCGCCACATCTTCCTTACTTTACATCATTTTACGTTACATTACTTTGTCGGCGTCATTGATTTAAGGGCTACCAACATGGTTTATAACTCCGGAATACTTAGCTCGATTAGGCTTCATGCGAGTTGACAGTTGACATTATTTGAAATGATTTTATTTTATGTATTATTGTCTACATTATGTCCCTTTACAACATTACAATTCACTTTAAATTAATCTACTGTACTTCACTTTAATTGACGTTATGTCATTTCTTCCCTTTTTGTGTTTTACGTTATTTTGCTCATTTGACCATACTTCATTACAATATACTTCACTTAATTCTATTTTAATATTCTATTTTAATCCACACCACTCATCCTCGTGTGGTTTCAGAGGCCCCTTTTATGTTGACTACCCCCTTAACAAGCATGCCGTAAAAGGCGATTCATTAGGAGTATGGTACATCACATGTGTTGGGTAGATTGGCGCTTATATCGCAGCCTTGCTATAAACTACAACACATCGGGCTACTACTTTATTTAAGAGTGAACGCAGAAGACGTAGCAGTAGCAGCAGCAGCAGGGGAAGAAGAAGAAGAAAAAGAAGAAGAAGAAAAAGAAGGAAGAAGAAGAAGAAGAAGAAGAAGAAGAAGAAGAAGAAGAAGAAGAAGAAGAAGAAGAAGAAGAAGAAGAAGAAGAAGAAGAAGAAGAAGAAGAAGAAGAAGAAGAAGAAGAAGAAGAAGAAGAAGAAGAAGAAGAAGAAGAAGAAGAAGAAGAAGAAGAAGAAGAAGAAGAAGAAGAAGAAGAAGAAGAAGAAGAAGAAGAAGAAGAAGAAGAAGAAGAAGAAGAAGAAGAAGAAGAAGAAGAAGAAGAAGAAGAAGAAGAAGAAGAAGAAGAAGAAGAAGAAGAAGAAGAAGAAGAAGAAGAAGAAGAAGAAGAAGAAGAAGAAGAAGAAGAAGAAGAAGAAGAAGAAGAAGAAGAAGAAGAAGAAAGAAGAAGAAGAAGAAGAAGAAGAAGAAGAAAGAAGAAGAAGAGAAGAAGAAGAAGAAGAAGAAGAAGAAGAAGAAGAAGAAGAAGAAGAAGAAGAAGAAGAAGAAGAAGAAGAAGAAGAAGAAGAAGAAGAAGAAGAAGAAGAAGAAGAAGAAGAAGAAGAAGAAGAAGAAGAAGAAGAAGAAGAAGAAGAAGAAGAAGAAGAAGAAGAAGAAGAAGAAGAAGAAGAAGAAGAAGAAGAAAGAAGAAGAAGAAGAAGAAGAAGAAGAAGAAGAAGAAGAAGAAGAAGAAGAGAAGAAGAAGAAGAAGAAGAAGAAGAAGAAGAAGAAGAAGAAGAAGAAGAAGAAGAAGAAGAAGAAGAAGAAGAAGAAGAAGAAGAAGAAGAAGAAGAAGAAGAAGAAGAAGAAGAAGAAGAAGAAGAAGAAGAAGAAGAAGAAGAAGAAGAACTTCCCACCTCACTTTACTAACTTCATTTCACACAGCTTCACTTTTAAAACCTGTAATAAATAGTATTTTTTTTAATTGTGTTTCAGATTGTTGGTGTCCTTACGGAAGTTGTAAATCCGCGCTGGCAAGAACATCAAATTCTAGACAAAAGATTTACCTTAAAAAAACTTCAAAGCTACAATTTGTCGTCAGTGTAAATGATACTTTACGTAATCTGTTAATGATCAAGAAAGGAAATTGTGGCTTTACGCTTTCAGTACAAGTAAGTTGAGAACAATATTAAAACATCATGAGTCTCAGCGTCAGCGGCTACCCACAAAGCTACCCACATCATCCTCATCACCACCAACCACATCACTACCACCACCCTCACCATCCTCTACAAAACACAGGAGCCGGCAGTGTCGCTCCAATCGGAGGCATACCTTCTCCAGGAGCTTCACACGACTTCTACTCGCCTTACCCCCACCATCAGATGACTCGTTTCCAAGAACACCCAGACACGGTTACTTCTGCAGTCGCCGCCGCAGTGGCTACCTCTGGAGGCTACTTCCCTAACTGGATGCTTTCCCCGCCAGACCTGGCCAGCGTGTCGGGTCACATCCCCGATGGCTACCATAGTTTTGGAGCTCCAGGAGCGAATTCACCAGGGGGTACGCATTACCAGTCTTTCATTCAGTACGAGAACGGGGTTCCTGTGCGCTGCATCAAACGCAGAGTCACCGCAAACAAGAAAGAAAGAAGAAGGACGCTTAGTATCAACAATGCTTTCGCCCAACTCCGAGGCTGCATTCCCAACGTGCCGTCGGACACCAAACTGTCCAAGATCAAAACACTAAGACTCGCCACAAGTTATATTTCCTATCTGATGGACATCTTAGCCAAAGATGACCCCGAACTTTCAAGGACGGGTTTCAAGGCGGAGCTTACAAAGAAGGTCACTTCCGGGCAGCCGGCAGGTTCTGTTGTTGCTGCTGCTGTTGCTGCTGCTGCTACTGCAAACGTCAACCCTGCAGCGGCAGTGATCAATAACAGCATGGGCAAGATGGATGGAAGTATTACTAACGCCATCTCCCAAGCCAGAACGATTCTGGAAAGGACGGAAGACAAAAGAAAAAGGGAATCGGTGGGTATATCTGATTTACTTATGTAAATGTTTATTCAATGTGTATGCTTGCATAATGTTACTTGTCATCACTATTATGTGCCCTGCCAACTAGCGAGGTGCTCATGCGTCTCCACAGATCACGATTCCTGGTTGCCTGGAACAGCTCTCTTGATGATATACCTCCATGCCATCGTTTTAGCCCATTCAGCATCATCTCTCTTGGTCTGCCTCTACCCCTTTTCCCAGTGATCTTTCCAGTTGTCACGATGTTTTCCAATGTCTCTCTTCTTATTATGTGGCCAAAGAATAGAGTTTGTCTCTTTCTTCTATGTTACGTGTACATAATGCTAATTCCATATAGAGTTTTAGCCGGTAAACAAAATTTATGTTCTCTTACCCCATAGACGATCCCAAAGGATCTGAGAACTAAATGCACTGGCCTACACATGACAGAATCCTTATTCTTCGTCATTCTTCTTCTTTCTCTTCACTTCCTAATCTACCGCTTTGACTGTCGATGGAGAGTAAAGGTTCATAGTCCTTGCCTTTCTGGCCGCCTTAACCATAGACACATCGCACTCTCTTCCAGTTTCTCTGATGTGAACTTTTCATCTTGTTCATATGTAAGGTTTAATAGTCAAAGTTCTTCAGGCTGCCTTAACCATAGAGACACATCTCACTGTCGTCGAGTTTCTCTGATGTGATCATTCCATCGTGTTCCTACTCTTAACTTCATGCTTTACATCCCTCTCTTTTGTATTGTATTGCGTCACAGAGCAATCTTCCCAAGTGAGCAAACCAGTTTTTGTTTTGTTTCTGTCTGTGTATGACTCTTATGTTTTCCGTTATTCCTAACTGTTTATCTTTTTTGTCACCCCTGCAGCCTTTCTGGCAGCTCCACTAACCAAATAAATACCAAGGAGATTTTTAAAAAAAATTTGAAAAAAAAAATTCGTGTGGAGATGCCGGGGATTGAACCCGGGGCCTTTCACATGCAAAGCGAACGCTCTACAACTGAGCTACATCCCCATATATTCCAATTCCAATTCCAATTCGTCCAACAAAAATTCCAAATTTGATCCTCTTTCAGCCGCCCGGAGGCCACCCCCATCTATACTAGATCTTTAACATAAATACTAAATGGTCAATGATAAAGTCTAGTTTTGTAATCTGTTATTTATTATTATAAAATAAAAGCATATTGTGGCTGTGTGCACCCCTTTTTTTCTAAAAATCCATCAATGGAGCAAGGGCCCTAAAGAAACTCATAAAAAGATACCAAGCCAAACGAAAAATAGAACCAGTCAGCTTCATAATGTCATAAACACAAACGATGAGTAAACGTAGCGGCTAGAGAGCCTTCATCGGCACATTAATTGTATCCACAATACCATAAGTACAAAAAGGATACATAGAATCACTTAACTGACGTATCTGCGAAAGAAATAACATAATTTGTCTGGACAGTATAATACGCACCAAGTCATCATATTCGTTGCCACAACGTGCACATCACCATGTGTTAATTAATTACTAAATAATCCTATTAATCACATCCGTTTGTAATTCTTTTAGTTCCCAGCACTCCCTCCTTTCCGCTACCCTCATCTTTCTTTGTTATTTGTGTTCTGTTGAGAGAACATTCTTGCCATACTATTATTATGTTTTCACAGGGAGTAGATATGTGAGTTTGTTCTTTACGTACTGATGTTACCTTTCCTTTGGGGTAGACAAGGCATTCGGAGTAAGGGATCATGATGCAAGGGCAGCACAAGGTCTCTTCAATAATGACCGGGCTTTGTGCTATGTAAAGGAGGCTACCCCCAATGGCTGTAATGTCCCTGTCTCTGTATACAACAAGATACTACCACCGTCTGCAAAGACTTACAAGGTGCTAACGTAAAGATAACTGTAGATTTTAGCATCTAGTAGGCATATAATATATATTTAAAAATCACACAGCCTTTTTGTACTTCATGTGTTTATTTTATATGAAGTGTTAAGTCCTCAGAAACCGTGATCGTTACGCGGGTTAAACATTTAACTGTCTTTATGGCTACAATCTCTAATTTAACAGTCACATTGGCAATCAGTTTTATGTGCATTTCCTTTATTTATTGCAACAATCAGTAAAAGAAAACGTTTCGATAGAGTGATATTCCTTTGTATTTTTTATGACTTCTCTTTGAAATTATATTTCTCTGTTATCTTTACTGAAACCACAAATTTATATGTTTCTGAGACAATGGATTTATCGTCTCCCAAACTGGGCTGACTCGGGTGCACTTAGGGGCAAGTGCTAATGATACGGAGGCGATGGTGACAAAGATAAAGTAGAAGACGGAATATTTAGTACAGCGTTTTAGAAACTCATATGTTCACTAGGCCTACAGATAGGGCAGTGTTGGAGACCGAGATGACGTAGGAGACGAGAGAATCAAACTTTCTTTCCCTATCCCGGCGAAGCCTGGTAATTATATCTAGTATATACAAATAAGTAAATCGGCTCTGTGGCTTAAGTCGATGCGAACGCTTCGTAACGCCGGGGTACCGGGTTCGATCTCAGCTGCGGGCCATACGCCTTACGTTGGTTTCCACAGTGGTATCAAGAAAGCCGACCGTCCAGTAAGCAATGGCAGACTACTGGACGTAAATTTGCCAAGAGAAACCACACAACAGTCTGGGGCTGTTAAGATTGGTTCTGCAAAGTCCTGTAAAGGATAGGCAACTAACCATATACAAATTAGAAGGTATGTAGTTCCTCTGAGCGATTAGATGGAAAGATTCGTACTGGTCGGTAGGTATACAGAGCTAGTGAATAGAGTTGCGTCAGTACGGGTTAACATGTTGGTAGGTTGATTGCCGCGGGTCGTTGAGAGTAAGTTTGGGCGGGTAGGCAAGCAGATATATAGCTAGCTTAATCTGTGGATTCAATTCGACTCCCACCTCCCACTGCCTAGATACCTCCTCCTCCTCCTGCTTCTGTTCTGCATCAGATGGTACTGCTGCTGCCACTGCTGCAGCTGTTGCTTATTCCTCTGCTTCTGATTCTGTTTTTGCTTCGGCTTCTTCTTCTTTTTCTTCTTCTTCTCCTCCTCCTCATTCTTCTTCCTGTTCTCTTTCTCCTCCTCATTCTTCTTCTTGTTCTCCTCCTTCTTCTTCATTTGCGTATTTCCTAAAAAGGACGGTTGGTACGTTATGTCATGGTTTCAGCTAGTCTGCATATCTGTGCATTTCGGTCGAAAATATCACAATTCTAAAGTACAGTAAAGATCCCTTTTCACACCTTTATGCGCATCAGGCATATGGGAAGAGCTTCCCATATTTTTACCGACCAATAGGGTTTTGGGTGGGTAATATGGTCAGCATTATGCCGGTCGTCTTTATTTCCCAAGACATCATTCCTGGTACCCATTTCAGGCTATCACAATTTTGCAAATCCTCAGTTGGTCACTTTTTACGACATGCTTGTTAAGGTGTAGCCTAAATAGAACTCGGAACCCACACGAGAAGATAGTCATTATTTTTCAACTTGTCTACTCGACCAACCCTTCGACCGACATTAATGTGTGTGGGAATTAGCCGAAGTACACGCCGAATGAGCAAGATCTCCCAAGTTACTGCTCATCAACGGACAGGACCACACAGTGTGAACGTATTCCTACTGGAGTGTGAATGGACGCTAACGCCAATATGTCCAAAGGGAACATTCGGGAACGTTTTTTCCCCTCTTGTGTTGGCCGACCGTAAATGTGTCACTTGTTTACGAGGATTCCCCTACCTGCTAAGTTTAGAGCTTCGTGGTCGCCCTCGTCTGCTCCCGAGAGTTTATAGGTCGAGGGTATTTAATTAGCAGGTCGCTGACGACGTTCGGTTGTCAGGTTGGCGCCAAATTTCCGCCGAAGGGATGTGAAATAAAATAACAAAACTGTTATATTTAAAAATAACGAATAGAAGAGATAAATTAGGTGAAGGTAAATGTGGTTCCCTGGGTAATACTACTTTTGTGGTGTGAGGCTTTGGGACGCCGTTTATTCTAGATCATAAATAAACAGAGAGGGAACCCTTGATATTTATATATATATATAATAAACAAAGTATTGATTGGCACTCATAGAAAGAAGTAGAAGGATAGAAGAAGGCACTCTTAAAGTTGGCTAGGTATCTGGACGTTGCAGAACCAATTCCATCATTTTATTGTTGTTGTGGTTTTTCTAGGGACATTTTACGTTCAGTATTTGGCCATTTAGAAATAAAGTTAAAAAACAACACCTTGAGACAAACAGAGAAATTTAAGTATTTGGGAGCATTTTCACATCCGACGGAAAACTGGACAAAGAAATTAGCTCCAGATGGGCCAAAGCTAATCAAGAAATGGAGCAACTATCTCCTCTGTTGACACACAAGCAGATATCTCGGAGTACTAAAGTGAATATCTTATCAGAACTATTTTTTGGCCAACACTATGCTATCAATGCCAAACGTGGACACTTACATCCTCCAATAAACGTAAAATTGTGACAACAGAGATGAAATGCCTTAGAAGAGCTGCAGGAGTTTCAAGGGAAGACAGAATACGAAATCATGAAATCATACGAATGCTAGGAATCACTGCCAGCTCCAGATTTATAAGGCCGTACAGCTCGAACGGGAATTCCCGTTCTTGTGCAAGAATTGAGTCCCTCTGCGTCCACAGTTTTTATCGAGGAAATGTATACGCAAATTAAACTACAGCTTCATGAATTTTCGACATATTTTTTTAGAACTATACGTCATTTTTAAGGTAAATAAGTGTGCCATTTAAATATAACAATAAAGGCTCTTACAAACAAAAATGCTTTTGCTACAGTCAACATGAACATAAACATCAATAACATTTAGATGTAAACTAAAAGTTGTTCCAGCAAAAGTAAAGAAATATCAGTGCTATCTCTTTGATTCTAAGAGTGTATTGTTGCACCAAAGGAGCGGGGGGGGGGGGGGGGGGGGGGGAGGGTGACCATTGTACTTTATCAAAT